CCAGCTACTCAGGAGGCTGAGGCAGGAGAATTGCCTGGACCCAGGAGGCGGAGGTTGCGGTGAGCCGAGATCGCGCCATTGCACTCCAGCCTGCGGAACAAGAGCGAAACTCCGTCTCAAAAAAAAAAAAAAAAAAAAGACCCAGAGTGGCAGCAACAGCCAACTAAATTGCGGAAGGGCACCGCTGTAATAGAAGGTACAGTGGAATAGTTTGAAAGTTTGAACTCGTTTTTTACTTCCCTAACTGCAGTCCAGGGCTCAATTGAAAAGCTTAAACCTTACCTGTTAGGAGCTCCAGGCTGCTGTTATCAGGTGTGTCCTCAGTGCTCTGAGCTGAGTCCTTTTTCTCTAGGATTAGCTGCTTGAAAAATTAAAGTCCTACGTGAGTTTTGCAGAAACATGAACGAGCCCTAGTGAAACAAGAGTGTGCCTATCGCTCACCTCACAAGGCTGTCTGCCCTCACCTGGAATTCCCTCTTCCTCCTGGCTCATGAATCCCATACCCAGCCTCCAGCCTTCAGGGTTTCCCTCTGTGGATCCTTCTGCACTCTGGCTACTCACGGCACATCCTTTTTCTCTGAACTCTGGTGTCTTGCCTACTGCCCGCTCTACTCATCAGGCTCTGTGTATTCTGCAAGTATGCTATGTGGCTGTTCATCAAGTAATGTGCATATGTCCATTTTCTACACCTTAAATCCCTTGAAAGGCAAGAATCATCATGCCTCTATCACTTTATAGCTAGCAGAGTCCCTTACACAAGGTAAACTTGAGAAAGTCAAACCTGGGAAGTCAGAGGGTATATTCTGCAGTCATCTGTAGCCTTGAAACCTGCCACAATGGTTAGTCCAATAATTTGGACAGAGAGGTTCTTACTGTGACCAGAACCCAATCCTCCCAGCTCCTTTTCAAGAATACAAATGTATAAAAATAGATATCCACTTCCTCAAAAATTTGTGGTTGGGTATGGCGCCTGTAATCCCAGCACTTTGGGAGGCCAAGGCCGGCACATCACTTGAGGTCAGGAGTTCGAGGCCAGCCTGGCCAACATGGTGAAACCCCATCTCTACTAAAAATACAAAAATTAGCCAGGTTTGGTGGTGGGCACCTGTAATCCTAGCTACTTGGGAGGCTAAGGCAGGAGAATTGCTTGAACCTGGGAGGTAGAGGTTGCAGTGAGCCGAGATTGCGCCATTTGCACTCCAGCCTGGGTGAAGGAGGCTGAGGCGAGCAGATCACGAGGTCAGGAGTTCGAGACCAGCCTGATCAACATGGTGAAACCCTGTCTCTATAAAAATAAAAAAATTAGCCAGGCATGGTGGTATGTGTCTGTAATCCCAGCTACTCTGGAGGCTGAGGCAGGAGAAATGTTTGAACCCAGGAGGCAGAGGATGCAGTGAGACAGGATTGCGCCACTGCACTTCAGCCTAGCAACAGAGCAAGACTCCATCTCGGAAGAAAAAAAAAAAGGCAAAAGATTTGAATAGACATTTCTTCAAAGAAGATATGCAAATGGCCAATAAGCACATGGAAAAAATACTCAGCATCAATATTCATTAAAGAAATGCAAATCAAAACCTGTAAATTACTTCACATGCACTAGAATGCCAATAATAAAAACAATGACAACTGTTCATGAGGGTACAGAGAAATTGGAACCATCACACGGTACTGGCAGGAATGTAAAATGGTGCAGACTGTGGAAATCGGCTTGAAAGTTCTTTAAAAAGTTAAAGTGTTGTATGACTCAGCAATTCTACTCCTAGATATATACCTGAGAGTTACAAACATGTCCACACAAGTGTTCATAACAGCATATTCATAATAGCTAAAAAGTAGAAAAAGCTTGTGTTCATCAACGAATTAATGAACAATGAGAGTTACAAACATGTCCACACAAAAGTGTTCATAACAGCATATTCATAATAGCTAAAAAGTAGAAAAAGCTTGTGTTCATCAACTAATTAATGGATAAACAATGTGGTATATCCATACAATGGACTATTATTCAGCCACACAAATGGATGAAATTATTATGTGTTATATGGTATAACATAGATGAACCTTGGGAACATGCTAAATGAAAGTCACACAAAGGCCACATGTTGTGTGGTTCCATCTACATGAAGTATCCAGAATAGGCAAATCCATAGAGATGGGAGGTATATTAGTGGTTGGCAGGGTTGAAGGAAAAGGGGAACTGGGACTCACTGTGAATAGATACTGCTAATGGCATGATGGAGATGTTCTGGAATTTTCTGGTGATGCCTGCATGGCACAGTGAATATACTTAAAGCCAGTGAGTTTTATTCTTTAAAATGGTAAATTTTATGGTATATGAATTATCTCTATAAGACATCTATCATATATTGTGTACTAAAACAAGTTTTAGTTCCCAAGTAATTACATTTCAAGGAACATAGAAGGGGCAAAGATAACCTAAAGATGTGAAGAAAGAAACAGGATATTTCCCAAACATTTTTTTTTCTTGAGAGATACTACTTTTTTTTCTTGCTTTAGCTTGGGAAATCTCATATAATAGATAAACCTTTCTCCTATCTTGAAATTGGTCTTATCAAGGAATTACCTACATGGAAATATAAAGCTCTAGGCCTATGTGGGAGCCTTGCATGTCCTGCATTCATCATCTGTCCCTCAGATAAGACAGCCCTGACTTCAAGATACACTTCCTTGGATTTTTTTTTCTTTTTTTTTGAGATAGAGTCTTGCTCCTGTAGTGTAGGCCGGAGTGCAGTGGTGCGATCTTGGCTCACTGCAAACTCCACCTCCTGAGTTCAAGCAGTTCTTCCTCAGCCTCCAGAGTAGCTGGGATTACAGGCATGCACCACCATGCCCAGCTAGTTTTTGTATTTTTAGTAGAGACGGGGTTTCACCATGTTGACCAGGATGGTCTCGATCTCTTGACCTCGTGATCCACCCGCCTCGGCCTCCCACAGTGCTGGGGTTACAGGCTTGAGCCACCGCGCCCGGCCCAGTTTTTGTATTTTTAGTAGAGATGGTTTCACCATGTTCGCCAGGCTGGTCTTGAACTCCTGATCTCAGGCGATCCACCCACCTTGGCCTCCCAAAGTGCTGGGATTACAGGCATGAGCCACCGTGCCCGGCCCCTCCTTGGATTTAACACTATAAGACATTTATTTCTAGTCCACCCTACCCCCCTGCCCACCAGAAACAATGCCTTTCCTTAGAAAATTGCCCTTCTGGGTTTAAGTTCTAACTCCCCCGACACACCTATGACATTAAACCCTGGAGTACTATCTTGGTCACACCTCCCTGGCCCACTGTCTCTGTTCCAACATTCAGACTTAAAATATCCACTCCTAGCCAGGTGCAGTGTTGCACACCTATAGTTCTAGCTACTCAGGAGGCTGACACAGGAGGATCACTTAAGTTTGAGGCTGTAGTGTACCATGATCACACCTATGAATAGCCACTGCATTCCAGCCCGGGCAACATAGTGAGAACCTGTCTCTAAAAAAAATAAAACTATACCCTCTCCATTCTTATTCTGTAACACTCTAAATACATACACATTCCCTCATTTTTTTTCAATTTTTCAATAAAGCATATAGTAGATGATTTTCTTTCCTATTACTCAAGAGGTCAGCTATTCTACCTTTCCTGTTTGGAGATGGAAACAGAATGGCCTACGGGTAAAAGAATCTGACCTGTCATCCTTAGTCTTGTAGTTTTATCTGAAGCCACTGGATGCCACTCTTGTACCACTAATAAGTTATTTATCACTAAATGGCCATTATCAGAGGGAAACCCGATCTTGAGTAGAGACAGAAGCATGGGTTCTACTCAATGACCTGGATCACTCATCTTCCCTGGGCTTGCAACCCAGTCCTCTATGTTAACAGTATTACCAGACTTCAGAGCCAGGAGATCTCAGTACAAATTCTAGCCATGTTTTACTGACTGTGTGACTCTGGGCAAGTTATGAAAGTTCTGTAACCAGTTTCTTCATCTGTAAAATGGTTAAACTGTGACCTGATTTATAACATCTTTGCAGAGATTAAAGTGAAAATCTTGGCACAGATTACGGATTCAGTAAGTGTTCCTTCCTTCCAAGACCTATGACTACTGGTAAAACCTTGAGTTCACTAGCCATCTGCTAAGTTAATTGGGCTATGAATGGCCCTGAGGCTATGAGCCATGAGTATAGCAAAAGAACAGGGTAAAAGAGGTCAGATAATTTTTTTTTTTCCCTTTAGACAGAGTCTTGCTCTGTCACCCTGGCTGGAGTACAGTGGTGGCACGATCTTGGCTCACTGCAGCCTCTGCCTCCTGGGTTAAGGCAATTCTCATGTCTCAGCCTCCTAAGTAGCTGGGATTACAAGTGTGTGCCAACAGGCAAGGCTAATTTTTGCATTTTTAGTAGAGATGGGATTTCACCATGTTGGCCAAGCAGGTTTCAAACTCCTTACCTCAAGTGATCCATCTGCATCAGCCTCCTAAAGTGCTGAGATTACAGGAGTGAGCCAATGCACCTGGCCCAGATGATGTTTTTTAGGTCTTACTGGAATATCAGAGGCCCAAGTAAAAGGACTTCACAGGCTGAAACACTCCTAGATCCTGAGTGGTCCCTAAATCCAATGGCAGATACTTTTTTTTTTTTTTTTGTGAGACAGAGTGTTGCTGTATCACCCAGGCTGGAGTGCAATAGCACCATCTCAGCTCACTGCAATCTCTGCATCCCAGGTTCAAGCAATTCCCTGCCTTAGCCTCCCAAGTACCTGGGATTACAGGCGCCTGCCACCACGCCCAGCTAATTTTTTGTATTTTTAGTAGAGACGGGGTTTCACCATGGTGGCCAGGATGGTCTCGATTGCTTGACCTCGTGAGCCACTGCGCCCACCTGGCAGGTATCTTTAAGAGAAAGGCAGAGACTGGGTATGGTAGCTCGCACCTGTAATCCCAGCACTTTGGGAGGCCAAAGCAGGCAGATCACCTGAGGTTAGAAGTTTAATACCAGCATGGTGTTGTATGAAAGGAGAGAAGGTTAGCACTCCCCTTGACAAGGATGGAAGAGGCCCTCGGGCCTGACCACACGCATACGGAGACCAGCGTGGCCAACATGGCAAAACTCTGTCACTACTAAAAATACAAAAAGTAGCCGGGCACGGTGGTGGGCGCCTGTAATTCCAGCTACTCGGGAGGCTGAAGCAGGAGAATCGCTTGAACCCTGGAGGCGGACGTTGCAGTGAGCTGAGATTGTACCACTGCATTCCAGTCTGGGTGATAGAGTCTTAGTCTCAAAAAAAAAAAGGCAGAAAGAAATTTGAGAGACAGGGAGAAAGCAACATGAAGACGGAGTTACAGTTTGGAGTTATGCAGGCTACAAGAAGCCAAGGAACAGTTTCCATCAGAAGCTAGAAGAGGCAAGGCAAGAAAGGATTCTTCTCTAGAAACTGGAGGAGTTATGGCCCTGCCAACACCTTGATTTTGGACTCTGGCCTCCAGAACTGTGACAGAATAAATTTTGGTTGTTCTTAAACCTTCAAGTTTGTTAATTTCTCACAGCATTCCCAGGAAACTGATAGAAAGCATTTTAGCTTTATTTACTCAAGGTGTGGACAGCAGCTTTCCAAGTCCCTTTCCAGTCAGAGGGAAGCTGGCAAGAGTATTTGGTGAACCAGCTGAAAGGAACAGCAGACACATTCCTGGGAAGTGCATCCTAGAAGGCATAGCCAGCATGAAAAGGTATGGTGAAGGGAGCACTGACAGGGGTTTACTGCTGCTCCGTGCCTCTCTCGTCACACTGAAGAGGAGAATGGCCAAGTGCACTAGATGCTGTGATCCTTCGGTGCCTGGGCACCTAAACTTCCCCACCCAATCGGGCAAGCAGATACAAGGGGTAGAGAAGATACAGAGGAGGTGCCAAAGGCCCTGTTACTCATTTTCTCAGAAACAGTGACCATAGTTTTTATAACTATTGAAATATAAACTGACAGAGTAAACTGCATGTACAGAAAATGTACAATTTTATAAGTACACATGTCCATACCTGTGAAACCATCACACAATCAACATGATATTCATCTCCCTCCAAGTGTCCTGCTGCCCTTTATAATCATTCCCTCCAACCCTCCCACCTTCTAGTAACCACTGACCTACATAGATTAGTTGGCATTTTTATAGAATTATATATAAGTACAAAGAGTTTGTACTCTAATTTCTGGATTTTTTTCACTCACCATGCTATTCAAAGATTCATCCATGTCACTGTGTTTCAATAGTCCTTTTATTGCCACGTAGTGTTCCTTTATACGGATCTACTACAATTTGTTCATCCATTTACCTGTTGATATTGTTTCTCATTTTTGGCTATAACAAGGGTGCTGTGAAGATTTGTGTACGAGTCTTTGTGTGGACATGTGCTTTTACTTCTCTTGGGTAAATACCTAGGAGTGAAAGCGCTAGGTCATGTGGTAGGTATATGTTTAACTTTATAAGAAGCTGCCAAACTGTTTTCCAAAGTGCTTGTTCCATTTTTCATTTCCACAGTGTAGTACATGAGTTCACTCCTCTACATGCTTGTCATCACGTGGTATAGTCAGGCTATAGATTCCAGTGGCATGAAATGGTTATCACATTGTGATTCTTCTTTGAATTTTTGTTATGACTGATGATGTTGGGCATCTTATGTGTTTATCTGCCATTTGTGTATCTGTAGCTTCTTTTGTGAAGTGTGTTCAAATCTTTTGGTCATAAAAAAAACTGGTTTTTCTTATTAATGAGTTTTAAGAGTTATTTATATATTGAGGATATCATGGTAAGGTTTTTAAGTAAACATTCAATTAAAAAAATAGATACAGTGCTATCAGGTATGTAGGGATACTTCTTTTTTTTGAGAGAGTCTCGCTCTGTCACACAGGCTATAGTGCAATGGCATGATCTTGGCTCACTGCAACCTCCACCTCCTGGGTTCAAGCAATTCTCCCTCAGTCAGCCTCTTGAGTAGCTGGGATTACAGGCATGCACCACCACGCCTGGCTAATTTTTCTATTTTTAGTAAAGACAAGGGATCACCATATTGGTCAAGCTGGTCTCGAACTCCTGACCTCCAGATCCTCCCAAAGTGCTGGGATTTCAGGGGTGAGTCACCATGCCCGGCCTGATAATCCTTTTAATATCTGATGCTACCTTTCTCATTTCTGATAGTGGCAATTTGTGTTCATTCTTTTTATTCTGATTAGTCTAGCTAAATGTTTATCAATTCTATTAATCTTCTAAATGAGCCACCTTTTACTTTTTTTGATTTTTCTCTATTGTTTTTCTGGTTTCTGTTTTACTGATTTCCATTCTGATCTTTATTAGTTCATTTCTTCTGTTTAAGTTGTGTTTAATTTGCTCTTCTTATTCTAGTTTAAGGTGGAAAGTGATGTCATTGATTTGAGCCTTTTTTCTTTTCTAACACAGGCATTTTCCCCTCTAAACACTACATCAGCTACAACCCACAAATTTTGATAATTTTCTTTCTCATTTAATTAAATTATTTCTAATATCCCTTTGATTTCTGTGTTTAATCCATGGGTTATTTATACATATGTCATTTAATTTCCAAATATTTTGGAATTTTCTAGCTATCTGTTACTGATTTTGCGTTAATAATTCTATTATAGTCAGAAACATACTTTTATGACTTAGAGACTTTAAAATGTATTGAGACATATCTAATGCCTTAGAATATAGTCTGTCTTGTTAAAAGTTCTTGTGCACTTGAAAATAATGCATATTCTTCTGTGGCTGAACAGAGTTTTTATAAATGCCTATTGGGTCAAAGTGATTGAAAGCACTGTTCTGACTTTCTGTCTCTACTTATCCTATCAATTATTCAGATAATTATGTTGAAATCTTGAAATATAATTTTGGATTTGTCTATTTCTCCTTATAGTTCTATTAGTTTTATGTATTTTTAAGTATGTATGTATGTATGTATGTATTTTGAGGCAGGGTCCCGTTGCTACCCAGACTGGAGTGTAGTGACGTCATTTTAGCTTACTGCAACTTCTGCCTCCTGGGCTCATGCAATTCTTCCACCTCAGCCTCTCAAGTAGCTGGGACCACAGGTGTGTGCCACCACGCTTGGCTAATTCTTCTATTTTTTTGTAGAGACAGGGTTTTGCCATGTTACCCAGGCTGGTTTTGAACTCCTGGGCTCAAGCAATCCACATGCCTCTGCCTCCCAAAGTGTTGGGATTATAGTTGTGAGCCATCATGCCCAGCCCTAAGGCCGGGCGTGGTGGCTCAAGCCTGTAATCCCAGCACTGTGGGAGGCTGAGGCGGGTGGATCACGAGGTCAAGTGATCGAGACCATCCTGGTCAACATGGTGAAACCCCGTCTCTACTAAAAATACAAAAAATTAGCTGGGCATGGTGGCGCGTGCCTATAATCCCAGCGACTCAGGAGGCTGGGGCAGGAGAACTGCCTGAACCCGGGAGGTGGAGGTTGCGGTGAGCCGAGATCACGCCATTGCACTCCAGCCTGGGTAACAAGAGCGA